TGATTTCTCTTCCGAGTTTATTATGTTAACTGAATCTTCTCTTCAAGTAGTGAGGAGGGTACCTGCAAAAATACTCTGAAAATCAAGTGAGTATTTGGTATAGAACAATAAAAATTATAGTATTAAATGATTATACATGTTCCTGTTCTATCAGATATATTTATAGTGACGTATTTGAGTCTAGTAAGTCTTTTGTCACGGAGAACGAGTAATTAAGGATTAATCTTAATTTAACCTTAATGTTGATTTAGCATGGACATTGCTATTTTGTTTCCTCTTCTAATAGTTTTTGTCTAGTTCTCGAGGTGTCGAATACCTTTCTAGTTGATCTCTTGGTAAAAGGGGTATTCGGCCTAGCTCTTGATTAGGTACTCGTTAATATTCATTAGACCGTCCTGGTTTGCCTTCTTTTGGTTACCCCTTCGACTTCTGCTAGGATTGAATAGGGTGTTCGTTTTTTATGATATCCCATGTTTTCTTCGGCTACACTTCGACCTATGCTAAGTTCAAAGGGAGTATTCGGTTTTGGTGGTGGCCAAGATGTATGGCATATGCCTTTCCAGTACAATATAATACCTATAGTTATAAATAATGATTAATTTTTATTGAGAATATTATTATTTTAGTGTGTGAATATATAAAATATTAATGAATTTGTGACTTTTTAAATATTTATTTTATTATAAATATTAAATAAACAACATTTTTCATGTTAGATTCTTTTTTTATGGTTGTTAAATGATGATCTTTAAAAATAGATAATAATAACCAAATTTTAAAAATATTCTCTAATTCTAAATTTTTTTTTTAGTATAATAGAGTGATATTTTTTATTTAAAATTTTAGAGAAAAAAAGGTAGAGTACGAATAGTACAATTTAACATTAAGTGTAATTATTAAATTCATGAATTCACAAAGAATTATTTTCTACACTTGAGATATATATATATATATATATATAAAATAAAATAAAGCAAAAAGTTGATAAGTGATGTTTGGAGTAGACCATCAGGAGCAAACTCTTGTAGCTAAGATTGACATACAAGATATTAAATTATCCTTATCTAAACAGACACATGACAGGTAACAAAGGAGGTAATTATTCGTTATAGATAATGATGCATAGATAATATTTTTTTTATATTTTAAATATTTGTTTATACATTTAAGATTAAAAAAATATATGTTTGTACTTACACTTTTTTTCCCTATTTAAGTAGGTGGGTGATACTTAGAAGAAAAAATATAATATATATATATATACATATTATAATAATAATAATTACTATTATTAATATATATATATATATATATTACATTATATTATAGCAGTGCATTTACTTGAATTTATTTCCTATTCTTCATTTTTTTTTCACAGCATTCCTATTTTTCATTTAAATCCAGGAAATTTAAGCTACCTTATATTTTTTATATTTTTTTAGGATGTTCAAAAATCATCACTCATAAAATAAATATAAAATATAAAAATAAATATCAAAGTTTTTTCAATTATATTATTAATATAAGGTATTTATTAATTTTATTATGAATAATCTTCTTTTAACTTTATTATTAATGACTAATTTCCACACAAAAAATTATTTGACATTTAATGTAATTTATTTTTTTTATTTACAAGACTCACCTTATTTAAGAGGATAAGATCTAATTAAGCCAATGATTTGTCACTAATTAAATAAAAAATAATTTTCTCTCGATCAATTTTTCTCTTTTATGTTGCTTATTATATTTATCACTTTCTCTTTATATATATTTCTTTTCCTTTCAACTTTTATCTTCCTTCCACCTCAGTGTACCCTAATTGGAGTGTACACGCATTTACATTACATTTCCCCAGTTTTTCTAAATCACGTGACACCGTGAACGTAAATACGTAATAGTATAGAAACAGGCAAATAATTGCTTACGTTACATATTTAGACAACATGAAATATACAAAATATATATATATAAATAAATATTATATATTTTGTATTTCACACAACATCTCTTCTCGTGATGTTTTGAATTGACATAACAAAACAGCAAACAAAAAGGCACATAATTCCTTCATATGCGACCACAGAACTACGTTTTCAATACAAGGAGATTCTTATAATTAAATTGCATTTTCATGTGGGGTGACTTAGAGCATGCAATGAGATTGTTTATAAGCAACTTCATGTGTTATATTACTGTTAATCAATTATGACTCACTTTATGGATTGTTTAAATTTTAGCAAAATTATTTTTACAAATAATTTTACTAAAATTTAAACAACCCATAAAATAAATCAAAGCTGATGTAACAGTAATATGACACGAAGGATTGCTTATAAGCAACTTTGATTACATGTGCTCTTAAGAAGCAATGGACCATATCCCTATGCATAGGCACACATACCAAACAAGCAAAGTGCCCCAAAGGGACATGCATGTCCACACTTGCCACAATTGAAAAAATCGATGTTTATGTCAGTGCACAAACCTCCACAGCACTCCCAATTGAAAATGCACCTAATCCCACACAACCCACAATTGTTCCCATCAGAAGTCACATTCACACAAAGGTTCCTACAGCACAAACTCCTTGGAGGAAATTCTCCTTGTGGGTTGCACACCCATGACCTGCCACGGCACCCTGAACCTCTTGCTTCCACAACATTATTCCTCTTCAACCATGGTGAAATTTGTGATGATGGCACACTAGTATCATTTTGGTGCAATGTGTTTGGTGATGATGATGCTGAGTTTCCCTCAATTGGGATCCAAACCAACGCAATAAGAAATGCCACAAGTGACATAGTTTGTGCTAGTGTTGCATTCATCTTGAATGTGTAGTGTGGTTATAGGACTTGGTTTTAAGAGTATATATAGTGATTCAAATGTCGATAAATTATGCCCTTTGGTGTTTTTTCTTGCTGCTCATCATTTTTTCTTAAGATGATGGATGAGGATTTCTTGGGGACACGTGCAATAGGTGCATGGTGGACATTGATGTTAATTGTTAAGCCTTGTGCCAGAAAAATGCTAGCTTTTGGGCTTTTTTATAACATGCGTTACGGTTAACATGGGACTTTTGTTGTTGATCAATCATTAAAATACAGTAGTGTTCTTTGCAAATTTAGTTCACGTTGGAGGGATCTTAATTCACGTGGAAAGGGCTAAGTGTTTGGGGTTTAGAAGAGTGAGAAAGGAACCAACACTAGCATGAAATAGCATGCAACTTTTTTGGTTTTATTTCGGAAAATCAGGTCTAAGACGTGAAGAAAGGAAGGGTGGCTTAAACGTGAAAGCGATCCAGTGAAGTAACGTATGTTTCGATGGAAAAAAATTACGGAAAAAGTGCATGGCTATTTCTAATTATAAAAATAAGTAATTATAATTTTACATGAAAATATTTATCTCATTTTAAAAACATTAATTTTTAAGGCTATACTAATTTGAGTGAATGGACTTGTATCTCTTAAATATGTAATATTGATTTCAATATTGATATATGGGCTTACATGTCAAACTTTGATGGATTGAGTTAAACATCTTAATTTTTGGTTCATTTGATCTAATTCACCTAGTTTATTGGGTCAAATGATAAGTTAGGATGAATTAATATGTTGATTTACCTAATTTTTATTTATTTATTATTATTATATTTTATGTTAAGTTTAAATAAGTTATATAAGATTTATATGTGAGAAATTTATAATTTATTAAGTAGTAAAGATGTTATGCATTTGATTTAGTTTATTATATGTAATTTGAGATTTTTTTAGTTAAAAATTTGTTAGAACTTGGAAGTATTATTATTATTATTACATATTTATTTTATTATGTAGCAATTGAAATTTGTTGTACAGTAAATCAAATCAAATTTAAACAACAATGATGTTTCAATTTTACTTAATGGGTATTGGGTCATGGTGATTAACAAGATGAAATGGGATCCGTTAAATGTCTTTGTTTAAATGTCATTGTAATTAATAAGATGGTTGGCAACAATGCTTTGATGATGAGGTAAAGAGATTGACAATGCTCTTATGGCGAGCAGTGATGCTCAAATGAAGATGACGACAGGTACACTTTGTTTGGTTTAGGGGATGAAAATAGATAAGAAATAGAAGAGAGATAAATAAGTGAATAGAAATAAATGAGAAATAGAGTGGAAATAATATTGTATAAATTGTAAAAGAATAATATTAATGATTATAATTTTATTATATGTAAATAAAAAGTAAGTAATAATTTTAATAGTTGTAGAAGAAAAAAATGAGAATAGTATCACTAGATCTGTCTTCTTCTTAGTAGATCTGGAAACTGGAAATGGGAGAAACAAGAGACAAGCACCAGTAAAGCAGAAGAAATAAAAAAAAAAAACGGAAGAGAGAAATAAAAAATAATAATGGTAACATTTCTCGTGCATTTCTTTGCATATTAGCGAAAAAATTTGTTTCCGGGGGACCCCACGGTACTTTCTACCGTGGAGAACTTCTTCAAGTATTTCATGGGTGAACCATCAAAAAATATATATATTTTATTTATTTTTAAGTTTTTTAAAAAAATAAATAAATAAATGATAATGACCTTTATACCCTTCCCCTTTTTCTCTTCTTATCTCCATTGTCTTTGAAGAAACAAGGGCAGCGTTACATTCCTTGCTTGAGCCCTTGGCTCAACTGCAATTATCTTTGGGTAGGAGTTTCAGCTCACTCGAAGTTTATTGTCGTTGAAATTTCAACTATCATTATTAATATTATTATTCTAAAATTCTAATTATAATATTATTCTTCCATAGTAATTAACAATAATTGATTCGAAACTTGAAAATTGAAATTGGAAGTTACTTCTCGTTATATGTCTTCTTCTTCGTCTTAGTCTCTTTCGAGAAGGTGTCACTGGCCACCGGTAACCAAGATGCTAAATTCCACTAGACCGAAACAGTCACTGATGGATATCTCTTCCTTTAAAACTAGCATTCAAATCAACGCCAACCACCATTCCTTTTCCTCCATAAACAACTAATTAACATTATTTTGTTTTGCATATTTGTAATAATTAGGTTTAGATCGCCACAAACCAAGTCTTAGTCATGGTGTACTGCATCAACAGTTATATTTTTATAAACTAAACCAACACATATCTTCTAACAATGGCACATTTCAAAAATAACATAACCGACAATGTTACATATTTTCAACACAAATGGTGTCTCCTTCGTTACATCTGTGTCCTAAAATGCATTGGTGGCATTAAGAGGGTCAGGAGGACAAGAAACACTGGGACAATTCATGACTTCAATATTATAGGTCAAAATTGACATTTCGATAATATAAAAAAGTTTATTATAAAACCATTTTTTTCAACTTGTCTTAATCTACATCATTTATTTTTAAAAAAAATATATTCAATGGTGTCAAACAGTTGGACATGTATTTCAAAATATTTATTATAGCACTTTAAAAACTTGTTCACCGATACACTACTTCTTTAGAGAAGTGGTCCTTCGAAGAAAGTGCCATATATTTTACCTATACACGGACACATTTCTTTTGTATTAAACTTACCATCTCATTTCTTCGATATTATTTTTGTTCTTTATTTACTATTTCTTTGCTATTTCTTTAGTATCAAACACAACTGGAATGACAAGGAAATGATAAGAAGTTAGTGTATGGTTAGACCACCATTAAATTTTTAATATCAACCATTTTTTATACCTAGTTTAGAGACTTATGTCATAATTAGGAAAATAATTTTAAAAAATTTATAGAGTTAAATGAATTCTTTAAAAAAATCAAAAGACTTATTTAACTTGTTTTTAATTTCAAGAATCAATGTGATGGTAAAATACAATTTTTGAAAGAATCAGCTGGAATAGACTTGCATTATCTTACCTCGGTGCTATTTGTCCTATTTTATAATTCCAATAGATAATAAAAAAAAAGTCTAACAAGAAACTTCTAATAACCTAAAATATTTAATACACCATCATTAGATCGATATCCTACATTAAAAAAAAAAAAAGGATCAATATCCTCCATAAAACAATTATCATTGTACATATTAAAATAATCAATAAAAAAAAATACAGAACGAGTTTAAGTTTCATTTAACATGTACTTAATAAAAATATTGAAAGAAATATATGTGTAAAGATGGTGATAGATAAGAGATCTCAACATTTATACATGTGATTATGAATACTCATATTAGAAAAGGATTCTGTTTCTGGCCAGCCATTCGACTTCGTTAGCATAATTTGAGCATTTAATGTTTGCCTTCTTTAAATATATTGTGTTTCAAATCTTCTCAATAGATAGAGATCCCTATCCCAAATTTGAAGAAGCAATTTTTTTCATATATTCTTTATGTTGTGTATGTTTCTATTGGGAAAAAATGGAAAATGAGAAAGGAAGGAAAAGTGGGAAGCCTTCATTCACTCTACTTGTTTGGAACAAGAGGAAGAAATAAAAGAAAGAGTTAATCACTTATATATTACCAGTGTAAATTTTTTTTATACTAGCAACCAATTATATCCTTTAATTATGTCATGTCACTATAAATACATTTACTTTTAATAGTGACATGACACAATTAAAAGATATAATTAGTTGTCAGTATAAAAAAAATTTACACTGACAATGTATAGGTGATTAACTCTAAAAGAAAAGGTAGGAAAATAGAAGAAAGGATATGCAAAAGGCTGATGATAAAAATCTTGGTACCTTTGTCAATATATCAAAAATGTTTTATTTTTTCATTTCTATTCCTTTTTTTTTATCATTTATTTTCCCATTCAAAATGTTTTTTATTCATTCTTTCTCATGAGGTTCTCAACATTTTGCAACACTTTTTTTTTTTTTTTTTGCATTTGTTCATCAAGTTTCCATATTTCCCTTTCTCAAGTTACCTAGAAAAATTCAAACATAAGCAAAGGGGTGGTTCAAATGGAAACTAAGGGACAATGTTTCAAATCTAATTTCGGAGTTTGAAAGAATTTCCTAATTGTCTTGATCATACAGAGGACTACAATGAGGACAAAGAGGAACTTCATGAAAGGATGAAAGGTCCAATGACAAAGGAATATCTAAAGAGTTTGGAAGAACTTAATAAGAAGTTCAACACATTGATGGAAAGACCCCTTGAAGAAGAAACACAGTCTCATTAATTAATTGGAGTATTGTAATAAATTACATCAAGAATGTGAATTTCTTCTTGTATTAATTTTGCTTGGCAAAATTCAAGTTGTCAACGTATTTCTGATTGAAAAATAGGAAAAACTTATTTACCAATTGTCGGTTAATGAATTTCCAATATGCCAGATGCAAATTAGGCCACAAGTGTATCTGTCAAAATGATTCAGCAAAGTCTTTAAAGGTGATTTTTCTGAAACGAATCGTGTGAATCCATAAGGAAGAGTGTGTCAATATTAATCCATTCAAGCAGGAGCTAAAGCTTTAATAAGGTTCAAAAACAAAATCTAGAGGACACAATCATGAGGAATATTCACACAAACAAGGAAAGACGACTTGGGATATGCAGTATCTTTTTTGCTCTCAAGTAGTGACTCAAATCTCACCTTTATCGTTTATGTTAATGCAATTATTAAAACTAACGTAATGTGCTAATTATTAAAACCGAACAGTTTATATCAAGAACCATCCCTCCATATACTGATAAAATGTTCCATCTACGTACCCAAAATGCACCGAATGTATGAGTGCTTCGGAAACTTCCTCTATTGTAAACTTTATTCTTTTCCAAATATTATCCACAGTCAATAATATGCACCATTTATTTCGTTCTAAACACTGCAGAAATTACTTTACTCACTTTGATAATGAAAATATGTATTTCTTTTCAACCCACTGTTTAGCAGGAAAATTATTAATGGCCAAACTCATAAAATTATTGGCATAAATGTTTTTTTTTCTTTTTTTAAATAAGGTATTCCTTTACTTAAAGTTAATTATTAATCTTTTGAGATATTAAGATCTTTTTAAAGAGTGAATTTATCCTGACAATTATTTGTTCATAGATTAAGAATCAAATCTTTAACCACGTATTTAACGAACAAGAGTGCCAACTATGTCACACTTTATTTGTAATTATAAAAAAACAAAAATGTTTTTGAATACTTTTGGGTCATTGAAAATAAATCATCAATAATAGTTCCATAATTATATAAAAATATATTGAAAAATGCTTTAGAACGGATATTTATCATTTTTCAAAAAATACATTATTATATATATTCTTTTGCGTGAGACTAATAATATAAGTAATCCAAATAGACAAATCTTTTATGCAACAAATATTTTTCTGATTTTCAAGGATTAGTTTATTGATATATATATCAATCCCATTTCTGATTTTATTGATTTTCAAGTATTATTGCAGGGATAAATAACAGTCAAAAGCGTATATTATAATAATAATAATAAATAAATAAAAACCTGTTCTTTCCCAAAATATGCAACAGAACAGTGCCAAATACCAATATCCTAAATCTCCTCTTTTAACCTGTGTTTAGACCAAAGAAATGGGTAATGAGGCTTCTCACAAAGTGAAACCTATAGATCAAGCACCATTGTATAAATGCTACTTGCACATTCCCATGCCACACAACTCATACGGGATTATGCAGCACACTATCGAAAGTGCAATAACTGTGATCAAATGATAAAAACTGTTCAAGTTATTATAAAGCAAAATGAAAAGTATGTGCCACTTTATTCAACCACAAACACTAACCACTGAATAAGCTGACAAGAGCAGTCATTATTACATTGTATTTTCACGTAGACCACGAAGGCAATCAAGCACCATACAGCAAGTCCACATAATAAACACAAACCATATAATATTTGAAGTCCTTAAAACATTGCATAATACTTCAAACTTAAGTAACTGCCACCACCATAGTAATGGATACCACACAAATTTTACTGGAAAATTATTATAGCAATTCATAAAATACGTAATCACTATGAAATTGTTCATCAGGGCCTTGTTACCGGAGCACAAGGCATTGCTGGGACCCAGCCACCATGGCAGGCTGAGTGCTAGAGCTAACGGCATCAACTTCCTCGAGACACTGAGGCTTGACATTCATCTCATAAGATGAAATGGCTTGAAAAACAAGAGCAGTGACTTCTTGGAACCTCTCTTCAGAGAGGGAAACCTCTGCAAGAAGCCTCCAAGCATTGGCTTCAGATGCTTCCTCATAGTCCTTCTTCCTCTTCAGCACCATGTGCCCACTAATTTCCCACACAGCAGGATTCACTTGGGTCTCCAGAAGCTCACCACTCACTTCTCCAAGAGCTTGTTTCTCTGCATAGCACTGTTTGACCATTTGCAATTTTGAGTAAGTAACAGCAAAATTCTTATCCTCTAAGTGAAGTCGGCTACACACATAGATCAAACGACCCACAAGTAATTATTTTGGTTTAATTACCCTTTTGATCTATAGTTTTATAAATTTTTACCTTTTAGTCCCTATAAGGCTATAACTATAATTAAAAACATTCCATTTTAGTCCCTATATATTACCATTTGCATTCCATTTTAGCCCCTATTATCTATTTCTATGGCAACTAAAAATTAAAGTTCGTGCACTTAGGACTAGAAAAAACAAGAATGATATGTATAGGACTAAAATGAAATATTTTTAATTATAGAGATTAAAAGATAAAGTTCATGAAATTATAGAGACCAAAACAGTAATTAAACTTATTGGTTTTATACAACTACGATACAAGATTTAGAGTCTGTTTGGGTACAAACTTGAAAGAGTATTTGAGTATTTGTCTACTGAAAGTAAGTTTTTTTTTTCAATAAAGAAGTTTTCTGAAGTTCTCTTAAACTTAAATCCAAACGTGCTCTTAAAAGGGAATAAAAGACAACAAATTTACCTGTGGCAATAGAAAGATTTGCCTTCCACAGTCTGAAATAAGCACATTGTAAGGTACGTTGTTATCTTGAAGGCAGATGCAGGCTTCTGAAACAGCATTGGCTAAATCCTCTAATGTATGACCGCCCTCGAAGACAAGGCCTCTTACTGGATAGTTAAGCAGTTTAGATATTATCACTCCACCACTTAATTTGGCAATATTCTTAATAGGAGCCTTCTCAATGGGAAAAGGCAGAGCCAAGTAATATGCCTGATTTGTCCAAATCAGAAAATGTCAATTTGAATTGAGCTAGAACACTAGTTAAGGAATCTAACAAGCCAGTAATCAACATGTATATTGCAGTGATCTACCTGAAAGTGCAGATGGTTAATGGTTGCAAATGCACCCAAGCTGTTGTAACCCAACCTAAAATATGGATTCCTTGCTTCAACTGCCATGTGAAGTGCAAGCAAGAAGCTTGCATGATCAATCCTTTGAGGTAAACACTCAAAGATCCGAGGAATCAGAAGCACGTGCCCATATTCAATAGGACTGACCTGTTACATAAACAGTATCATATAAACACCTATTTTACAAAACCCTCAATGACAAAGACTGCAAAAAATCTAAGAAACTTACATTGATAGCAACAAAACTGGGAGAATTATCAACATCAATTGGCGCATTTGGAAAGAATTGAACTTCCCCATCATTGCTAGCCTCAAACTGAAACAGGACCTCTTCTTGCCCAACTTTAGTGAAGTTAAATTTGCTTTCATCAAAGGGTTGGAGGACCTTGTCAATACGGAACTCAGTTGGTCTCTTCTTGAGGTGGCGACCCTCATTCAGCTGAGCAATGAAACCATACTCCCCAGGAATCACCTATAACCCAAAAGCAAACACATAAAAAAACATCCATGCAACCCCAAAATAATACAAAAAACGAAAACAACTAGAAAGAGAATAAAAGGCAAGACAAATCAGACCTTGGTTTCACAGGCAGTAACATCATAGCGGAAAAGCCCTCTCTGCACACGATCTTCCCACTACACCATTGAAACTCAAAATACTTAGAAGAAAAAAACGTAACAACATGATACAACTACACACAAAAAATAAACCTTTCAAAAATATTAAAACACAACACCGTCATTATATCCCAACTTCCACACAAATTATGCATGTGTTGTTTGCAAGTTTCACAACTTTCAAGATAGTTTAACGGAAAAGTATTTGTCTAGTTGCTTTGAGTTGACAAAACTTTTGAGTACTTTCAACATCAAAACAAACACATCAAGTCTTGGAAAACTCAACACAAATCTAACATAATAAAAATGACACACAAACACTAAAAAATAAAACATTAAGCCTCAAAAAGCTCGAACTCAAAACACATAACATAATGATGGCACAATAATCAAGCCATAAAAAAAAACTCAACACATAACATAATGGCACATCTACACACAAATTAAGACATGAAGCCTTTAAAAAATGAAACACAACCGACACACCCAACCCAAAACACCAAACCTTAAAAAACTCAACACATAACATAACAACACACCTACACACCCAAACCAAAACACCATACCATAAAAAACTCAAAAACACGTCACAATAGCACACCTACGCTCACAAAAACAGAACCATCAAAATTCCATAAGTACCTCCCCAAGAATAAGCGAGTCCAGAAAGGCTACAGGCTCCTTGCATCCAAGCAAAGGCAACTCCTTTCCTCCAACCGGGTCCACCTTCTTAAAAGCATACAAAGGCAGCCTCGCACCTGTTCCCAAAAAAAAAACCACAAATGAGCCAAATCCAAAAACTCATCAATCACATCACACCAAGGTTTTAAACTAGAGTCACAGTTTCATCACGATCCATCACATCATGTGAAATTGCTGATAAAGGCTTCACATGTCACCACAGAGATTTTGCAGTTTATTAAAACCTGGCATCACACATCCAAAAAAAGAAAAACCAAACCAAACAAAAGCAAAAACAACAACCTTGGATGCAACAATTTTTTAGGCAATTCCGACCACAACCTCCGGCAGCAGCCTCCTCGTCCTTCTGATAATTGGAAACCACAGTGGGAACCCTCTTAATACTCAACATCATCCTATCTAAAACTAATCCCCCACCAAAACCAAAGAACAATAACAACAAGAACAAGAAAGGAAACAAGACACCCCTTTATGGATTAACTCTTGAAGACGCTATTGCTATCACTACTAACACTACGAGGAAGTCCTAATTTTGAAGGGAACCACCGCCGGCGAGGAAGAGGAGGTCGGAGGGGCTGCCGCCTTCGGAAGGCAAAGCGCCACGCCCGCCGTGCGGCGAAGGGTTGCTCTCCGTCACACAACCCTTGCGTCGGACACAACGGGCATGAGAGAGAGAGTGGCGAACTCGTTGAATAGCCGTGATGTCTGCAATGCTTCAACCCCGGGTTTTAACCCAATTCTTCTCTCTCCTCTTGTTTCTCCTTCTTGTTGTTCCCTCTTGCCCTTCGATTCAGCGTTCCACGGAGGAAAAGGTGGTGGCTTTGGGGACCCAGTGGGTCGAATTGCGAAACCCAGAAGGGAATTGGAGCGAAGTGAGGAGAAGAAGGGTTGTTGGTGGTTAATGGGGGTGTTGAAGAGGACCAGTTTTTTGTTTTATAGAGGAGAAGAAGAGAGAGAAAGATGATAGATTGGAGATTTGGTTATGGGCTTGTGGCTGTGGGAGTACCTAAATTTCATAAATCAATAGGAAATTTACAATTACCAAACTCTATGTTTTAGAAAATACAAGCCTCTTTTTTTTTCTTTTTTTTTTTAATTAACAAGTTAAATTATATTTATCTTACTTTATCTTAATTTTTAGATTTATTTTAATTTTTTGTTTGTCAAAATAACGATTTCAGTCTTCTATCTTTTATCTTTAGATTAATTTCATACTTTTATAATTTTAAATTAATTTTTAACTCATTTAAGACGTGAAAATTATAATATTAAATTTATTTATAAAAAATTATAATATTTAATTAATATTTAAATCCAAAAATATTAAAAATATTGATAGAGTTTGTGAAAAGTAACTCACGAACAATTAAAAAGTGGCATAAAATTATATTTTTAAAGTTTTAATATTTTTTGAACCTATTTTTATGAAATTTTTATTATATTTATAATATTTTTTATTTAAATTTCAATTATATTTAATAACTTTCATAAAAGTAAATTTAATGAAATAAATTTTAAATCTTAAATTATTTAAAAATATATTCAAGATTATGTTTTAAAATAAAAAATTATCATTATTTCAAAATAAAAAATAATTATCATTTAAAAAAAATCAAATCAACTCAAATTTAAGAGATATTTGACCAAAATAAACATCTCAGAAGATAAAAGATTAAAATGAATCTAATAAATAAGATAAAAGAATTAAAAATATAATTTAATCTTAAAAAATAATAATTTTAAAAGAAGATAAAAAAAAAATAGCTTAAAGAAAATATATCTATATTTACTAATATACAAAAGAATATTCGTCACATAATTTCTTTTTTTTTCTTGGTCTTTAGACTTTTTAAACTACTTTTTTTTCTTTTCAAACTACTTATACTTCTTATAATTAATAATATTTTAACATGTAAAATACATATGGATGTTAATTATATATAGTTAAAATTTATAGTAATTTATATATAAATAAATATTATATTTTAATATATAAATCATATTTAAAAT